AGGCCCCCTCCTCCTCCTCCCCCACCCCACGGGTCCAGGGTGGGCTCCATCCTTTCCTCCCCAGGGCTGTGCCAAGGGGCTCCAGCCAGGACGGGGCGTTGGCAGCCGCCCCAAAAGGCTTTCCCAGAGGAGCTGGGCTGCCCAGGGATGAGGGGGGAGGGCTCGTTTGCCATCATCCCTTTGTGAGGGAACTGGGGGAAGCCAGAGCTGTGGGAAGAGCTTTGGAGTTGCTGGCGTTGGGCTGGTTTTCACTTAGGCAAAGCAGAACCATGTGTCGCCGCGCTCGGCTCTGGTTTTGCTTACGGGGGGAAGAGCCCGGGGAGGGGATGGGAGGGGAGGGAGTGAAGGGGACAAGCTGGGGCTGGGGATGTGACGTGGCTGTCAGCACTTTGTCCCCTCACCCTGGGAGAGCTGCTGGTGAGGACACAGGTGCCACTGCCCCATCTCCCCAGCCGAGGGGATGGGTGTCTGCGCCGAGATGGTGGCACCTTGTGTCCCCAGAGCAGAGCTGGAGATCTGGTCACTGACTTTCTTCCCCTTCTTTCTGCACCCACTTTTTATCCAAAGAGCAGGAAAAGCCCATATTGAAACTCAGACCAGGGTTTGAGGCTTTGTTTCCTTTCAACACTCCCCTTTTTGGGGCCAGTTTTGCCATTTTGGGGGCCAGTTTTGCCATTTTGGGGGCCAGTTTTGCCATTTCGGAGCCAGTTTTGCCATTTTGGGGCAATATTTTGCCATTTGGGGGCTAGTTTCCCCCTGCAGCACCCCTGCTGCAGGCCCCAGTACCCTCATGCAACACCCACCCAGCTGGGGCTTTCAGACACACCGATGCCTTTTGAGGGGTTCAGTTCCCCCCCAGAAAAAACACCCCCCACATCAAGTCATGATAAGTCCTGGGGGTCTCTCTGCCAACCCCACCCTGTCCTCTCCAGGACCAGCCAATCATCCTTCGAGTGGGACCAGGCACAGAGCTGGAAGCTGCTGCTGGAGGAGCCACTTTCCAGCAGCCCTTGGAGCTGCTTCACCCTGAGCCTGGATGGAAATTGTTTAATTCCTGCGGGATGAGTCACGAGGAGCCGGGATTTCAAAGCAGCTTGGCTCCCATGTAAGGCACTAAAATAAACAGTGTGTGGCAGGTGGAAGCTTTCTCTGATGTTCCATCAAGGCCTTCATCTTTCCAAGTGTTTCAGGGTGCCAAAACATCCCAGGCCACTCTGTGGCATCATCCATTCTTGCAGCGTGGCTTGAAGAGAATGAATCAATGCCCGGAAACATGAATCGACTGCAAATTTATGGCACACTTAGATTATTATTATGTCTTTTTGGGTTCTCAGCTTTCTGGCTTTTGAAGTGTAGAAAAGATTTTTTTAATTTGTTTTGCATCTCTTCCATCTCCTCCAGCAAGGAGGATTTAGGGTTAAAAAGCAGAATGTTCTGCTTTCCAACCCCGTCGCTTCATCTCGTGACTCCAGGAGGTTTGAGGATGGAGGAAGCTAAAACCTGGGGAAAACTGGAAATTGCTTAGGGGAAAAAAAAAATGGTTGTGGGAAAAATTGAGGGCATGAGAAGTGAGGAGAGCCAGAGGAGCCCCAAATGTGATGGATCCATGGGGTTTGGTGCTTCTTGGTTTAGCAGGAGGCAGCGGAAATGCCAACGCTCGGGAGCTGAAGTAGAGAGAAACTGAAGCGTGGATGGATGGATCTGACTTCTTCTTTCTCTTGTTTTTTTGTTCTGAACACTGAGGATAATCA